AATACAGTCCAGCTTTGGAGACACAAATGCAAGGCGTAACAATAAAAGACTATTTTTCCCCTCCATTTTCAGCCCCAAAGTTCTGGTTCCCTGTCCAGGTTATTCCATGGGAGGAAAAAGAGAGCTTGCATCTCCAACTATGGATATATAACTTGGTCCGGATTTGGAGACCCCGTCCATTTCTTTTGTTTCATTGTTTTAAGATTTCTTCTTCTTTCATCCTGGCTATATTTTAAATGGCAGGGCCAACCGATGAAGATGGCCACAGGACAACCTGAAGGCGGGGAAGATCTCTCTATTCTCTCTGTGGAGCAGCTGTTGGGCTTCTCAGAGGAGGATCCAACTCAAGACTTCTTGCCACGTAAGTGAAAGATTACTTCTGTGGCCAGTCCTTGTGCTTCTCCTACACATAAGGTAAAGGTTCCCCTCGCACATACGTGCTAGTCGTTTCTGGCTCTAGGGGGCGGTGCTCAAGTCCATTGCAAAGCCGAAGAGCCAGCGCTGTCCGAAGATGTCTCTGTGGTCATGTGGCCGGCATGACTAAATGCACGGACCACTGTTACCTTCCCACCAAAGTGGTCCCTATTTTTCTACTTGCATTTTTTAATGTGCTTTCAAACTGCTAGGTTGGCAGAAGCTGGGACAAAGAACGGGAGCTCACTCCATTATGTGACGCTAGGGATTCGAACTGCCGAACTGCCAACCTTTCTGATCAACAAGCTCAGCATTTTAGCCACTGAGCGTCCCTCCTACACATACTTCTGCCTTTAATTCCCCAATAGCTGACTCAACCATCTTCCAAATATTGTTTGTCCATCTCCATTTATCCTGATCATAGGGAACACAAGGTTGTCATCGGAAATGGCTGAAACATCTCCTTTGTCTGGTGGAGCCGCAACAGCTCAGGTAAGGTATACTACATAAAATTATATATTGCAATGTCCTACCTGTCAATGAATACTTCAGCTTCAACCATAACAATACAAGAGCACAAAATAGATACAAACTCAAGGTAAACCTCACCAACCTTGATTGCAGGAGATACGACTTCAGCAACAGAGTGGTCAATGTCTGGAATACTCTACCTGACTCTGTGGTTTCTTCCCCAAACCCCAAAAACTTTAACCTTAGACTGTCTACTATTGACCTCACCCCTTTCCTAAGAGGCCTGTAGGGGGCCTGCATAAGCGCACCAACGTGCCTACCATCCCTGTCCTATTGTTTCTTTTATTTTTTTATTTTTCTTATATGTATCCATTTCATGTATTCATAACTATGTTTATACTTATACCCGTTATCTTATAATGACTTGACAAAATAAAAATAAATAAATAAAAATAAGGAGCCGTCATCAGAGCAGGAAGTCCTTTAGCACAGTGATCCCCAACCTTTTTCAAGCAGATTCAGTGAAAAGTGATAATACATGAGGTATGGAGTTATTACTCCATCAAAATGGTAGCTTCTGCAAAAAAAAAAAAAGTTTTCACACAGAAAGAAATGCGACAAAATGGCGTACCTCTTCAAAGTCTTTCACCGAAATGAATTGTGGTAGGAAGAAATTCTAACCAGACAGATGGATTGTCGGAGAGGCAGGTATCAAACCTAGTAGTACATTGTGTCAGAAAAAAAGCATTTTCTGTCTTACAGAAACTTACTTTTAGGATATTGGATATGTGGAAGAAAAAGTTCGAGGATGTCTGTGCTGAGTAACATTTCCTTTGAATTTCAGGGCTCTGTATCCTTTGAGGACGTGGCTGTGTATTTCACGGAGGAGGAGTGGGCTCTGTTGGATTCTAGCCAGAGAGCCTTATACAGAGAAGTCATGCTGGAGAATTCTAGGAATCTGGCTGCTCTGGGTAAGGGCCTGTTTCGCTCTGATATTCAGGCATTTGTGGAAGTCTTTTCTTGCCATAAATGTTCAGAAAGCAGCTTCTGCCTAGAAGGAGGACATTTTGGACTTCTTTTTGTTTTCCTAAGACCAGAGTAAGTGGAGAAGATGGGAGACAGTTTACAAGATCCTTTCTCTGAGTTTTTGAGCAAGTTCTTTAGCCAAGATGACAGTTTCACTTTAGTCTGATTCCAGAGTAAATAACCAGAACAGCTTTAGGTGAGGAAGACCCTGCCTTGAATATCTGTTCCTTATAACCGCTTCCTCTTCTAGGTTGCCTTACTATCAGTGGCAGTTGCTCATACCATCGGTTTGGACAAAAGGGCCCTCCCTTTATCTCTTGAGTTGAAGATGTATAAGTTTCCTGTAGAGCTCAGAACAAGCAAAAATAACAGTTGCTGCATTTTTCT